TAGGCTTGCCAAAACAATGGTATAAGTTAAACCAATTCTTTTATCCATTGTATCGAGTGAGAATGATGTCCCAATAAATTTCGGACTATACTACCTTCGTGGCTTGCAACAATCTTCTTACGCCTTATATACATATGGTTCCGCCTTGCAACTCACAAATTGCCGCAACACCAGGCAGTTTCGCGACCGAGCCGCCGGCGAGCCATGGATGTCAATGTTACGGTATGTCGGTTGATTGAGACAATGCCTGCGGTTCCATCGATTCTAAAAGCTGGCATCGGTAGGCACAGTACTGGCAGAACCGTAAAAACATCTCGTGATCCACCTCGTCACTTGAATCATTGCTGAAGGTCTGATTTAGACGTTGCAAATGAGGATAAATTGTTTCCTAAACTATAATTAGTCCTAAGATCGAAGATTTTGGGCGGCCTAATTACCAATTCTTTATCAGCTGGCGGCCAATTCGTGTCTTGTACTGAGTTATACGTAATCGTGGCCCGTGGATGATGGATAACGAGGTATACATCTGCTCCAGCAAGGGTAGCTAGTTCGTGTGCTTTGCTCAGTAAAGTACGGGTCCTCTTGTTGAACGTAGTGCGCTCACGCCTGAAAGGATCGGGACCCCCCATAACGATTTTTGATGCAGGCAAAAGTAATGTGTTGTTAGGAGACTGGTGTTATGTCTTCAAGCAGTTTCTTATACTAGTCATGAGAGAAAGTACCTCTAACCGGAGCTGCAGCTCTGGTGCCCCACTTTATTCCGCGATCTGCGATATATTTCAATTCTTGGACTAGGCATATTACTAGGAACGAAAGATGTGATAATTCAGGCCGATTACCCCACTCAAAAGAAAATAGCGAAAAAAAAGGGGGCGAGTCTACCCTGTGGAAAGGGTAATCTATTTCTCAGAGCGCCCGCCTGCGATAGCTGTATTGTTATTACCCTCTTCCTCAATGCGAGCCCTCTTTGCGTGATTATCCTGCGGATCAGGCGAGCTACGCCGGCGTCGTTCACCTCGTAGCTTATCAGCGGTAATATCGCAATGTTCGCAAAAGGCTGTGGGTGGGCCGTTATAATCAGGCCGACCAAACGGGGATACCAGGTGCTGCTTGGCCGCGAACGACGCTACTGTGTCTGGGAACCCGCTTATTCTCCAGCGCTTCCTTGCTTGCGTCTTCAGGTAGATGTTCACTTGTATCCCTGAGTGGGCCGTGATGAATGATACCTGGTGGCAATACCGCCCACAGGAGGCACAGATTTGCCTTGTACCCTCAAGTGTCCCAATTTTCTCCCTGTCAGTAGTAAAGAGCAAACCATCTGGGTAGAGATTCTGAAGCTGTGCGACCACATCATGGGCACGTCCTCTGCAGTGGATTGTTCCAGAACACCAAAAAGGGTTGGCATTTGTCTCTGGAAGGCTGCCGAGGACGAAGAAAAATTGCGCTGCAAGCAGAGCCGTTGCTGCTTCCCGCGCCATCCGGGCAGCCCCCGGATGTAGCAAAACTACATTCCGGTACTCCTCCATTGCCTCAACACTGTCGATTGCGCCAGCCGAGCTCGAAAGCGGAACATTTAGTCGCAAATAGTCCGCCTTAAGGTCATCCTCGACTTGGCCCCACATCTTCGACCAGTGATATTCCGTATCCATTGATGACATCCATGCATCAAAACCCCGGCGGATGAAGCTGTCGCGAAAGACATGCTGAAAGTGCGGAGATGGATCTGTCGCTTTTGGAGAAATTCCAGTTCCCAGCGAGATGAGCTTGGCTGGGTTTTTTCGACCCGGCCATATTTGTTGACTTAAACGATGTGCGATATCGGCGGCCAGGTTGTCCTGAAGGCCGCCGTCCTGGAAGGAGCCGATTCCTGGGATATCAACTGGTGGGAAGAAGCTATAAATCTTGTGAGCCAAGGACTTGAGGCGTGACAGGGACGTGTGAATCTCACGAGGGTGCTGCTGCTGTGGCTCTTGCCCTGTAACTTGCCATTAGTGGTACTAAAGCAGGCAATTAGCAGAGGACTCACCCTTCCCAAACGCGAGGCTCGAGATTCGTATTAATCGGCCGAATAATGCCGAACTCTATTTTCGTGGTCAGTACTATACACATGTCTCGCTCTCCCCATACTGATACTGACCGCAATCTCCATCAAGGATCTGAGCCGGGTTGAAATTTCCGAAGACAAAGGATCTCGTTTCCTTCGCGATGCTAGTCGCTATGACACCGAACCTTGTCTTAGACGACTTAATTCGTAGCTGATCTGCCTTCACAGCCTCGAAAATTCGTGAAGTTGTTCCGAATACATCCTTCAAAACCGACTCAAAGACAGATCCACTGTAACAACCATCATGAAGCAGCCACAAGAGCCATTTATTCACACGCCCCAGCAATGACCTCTCTCCTAGCATTGTCTGTACGGCACGGGATAATGATGAGCTCCGCCTTTGTTTGAATATTCTCCGTGCCATCTTGTCGAAAGTCTCCGCGCACGTTTTAACATCCCATGACATCTTGAATAGCCCGAGAATGCTAAGTCCTCCTATAGCAATCAGCGACATCGTGACCAGAAGGTAAGGAACCCAGTCAAAATATATATAGGACTAACCTGAGCTTGTGCCAATAGCGAGGTCAACTAAGTCTTGTAGCTGGCAGTATGGACTTAGACTCTCTTGGACTAGAATAAGAAATTCCAAGGGAATAACTCCTCGAACTCCACCTCCATCGATGGCTAATATTGTAGGGTTTGCAGTTGGCGGAAGAACATCAATCGCGAGTGGCTTCTGGTATAAGCAGCAAGGGCAAGCAGATATCGTGAAACGGTACTCAACATCGCTTGCCGGTGACCCGTACAACTGGGCACAGTGGTCGCACATTGTGTGTCCGCACTCTAGATGATGCTGCGCTGACCGTGTGAGGCAGAAAAGGCAGATTAAGTTGGACCTGACTGGGGAAAGTTCCCCACTGAGGATGCGAAGTTGCTCTTTGCGAAGCTTCCAGGACTGAAAGTCCATTAACTCCAATGTATCGAACTGCTGGACCATTGCGCATTCTACTATACTCACCAACTCTTTTATGCGACAAGGTGATAAGAGGAATCTGGGTTCCTCCAGCGCGGCTATGACTGCAGAGCGATAAAGTGATTGAAAAATCACGCGGGGCTCAAAAGCTACTTCATATCAGCCTCTGCAAGCAACAACGCAGTTGGTGAGCTTACCAGGCATTCCCGGCCTATAATGATCCATAAGAAGTGCTGATGCGATTGAGGGAGCAAGCTGCCCATAGTCCACTCCCGCTAACATTGCGGCGTCTTGGTAATGCGCAAGATGCGCACTCAACGAGGTTGCCACTGGACGGTCCGCCCGGGTCGCTTTCACAAAATTAAATGGTAGATGTGCCTCCTCCACAAGATGCTCTCTAGCTGACTGAAAGAACGCTACCAGGTGCCTTGCGTTGAAAAGAGCCTTGTGATCCTGTCGAACCATTGTCATGTCATCCAGCTGCCCCGCAATGAATGCACTCAGGTGCTTATATCGAGCTATCTCAGACAGACGTCCATCCAGGCGGACAATATTTAGGGCTGAGAAGAGCTCCCGTTGGGCATTAAATGTGGCAACGCTCAGCTGCTGGTAAAATGCCTCGGCTTCCTCAATTTCACTTGTAGCTCCACCATCTGTGCGTTCGAATACAATAACGATGCGAGGTCGGACAGGTGTCGGCAAAGTTGAGGCTGCTCCCAGGTTTATGCAATCGAGCAGGAAATCGATAATGTAGGTGTGACTTGGAAGATCGGCAGCAAAAATGCACACAATGTCACTGAATGGGAAAACTAAACGCGCCAATACAGTACGTACAGTAGCATCTTCAGATGTTGCATCCCAAGTAATGGGATATCCCTCTGCAATACCGCAGTTATACAGAGAATCCTGGATACCGCCGGTCAGATTGCCTTCTACAATCAAACATGGTCGAGCAGAATTAAACGACCGGATGTCGCGTCGTAGCCCCACCGCTGTATTCGATCTGTGCCTCCTTATATTGTTCTGAGGGTACAACTGTCTCAGCCCAGCGTCCCTTGTTTTGTTGCCAAGGAAGACACACAGTGCCGGATATTGGGAATCTGGAGCAACAAGCTCAGGGAGGAGTTGCTTTAGTCGGCCATAGTCCCAGAGGACATGCCCCTGGTCCCTCCGCTGTCCGATGTCGAGCCAACTAATCTCGTCTGCCTGGCCCATGGTGATAAGAGGGACTGTTCTACACCTGGTGTAAAAGTGGCGTATCCGCAAATTCGGATGCTTTTCTATTCTAGGCAGTTCTGGCGCAGTCAAATCATGGCCTACAAGCAAAATGGGTTTGCGGAATTACCAGGGACAAATGTAAGGCATATACGCTTGCTTGCTTGGTTGTTTTACTAGCACCTGCAAAAGGGTGTACGAAGTCCCCCACACAGTGTTCTAGATGTTGTGCAGTGTATTATCACAGTGCCGCGACACAATTTGGTCGCGCGTTCAGTTCCGCGACCTCGATCTAAGTGGAGCTGTTCTCGACGAGATCTGTGGGGCGCCATCCCTGTCAGCGATGAAAAATCAGCAATGAGCTCTTACCTTGTGGGTCTTCTCCCATGATTTTATCTCGGGGAAGAGTCGAGGTGGGTCGGTTCGGTCGCTCTTCGGGGAAGATCGACCTTGCATTTGTCATGCATGAAACCTTAGTTAGCCTAGCCAACCGTTGGACGCCCGGGCCACCAAGCGAACTTCATAGTTTGACTTGGTTGTATCGCCTCTGAGCGCGTGTGCTCTCGACGATGGACGGACGGACGTATTGGATGAGCTATGTTCACTGGCTGGCCGGGATCCTGATTATCTCTCCCCACCCGGATTGCTGTGAGATAATCCCTAACCAATCATGAAGTAGTTTTGGGCAGATGTGAAATCAAGGGTGAATACTTACTCCCAAGGTAAGACAAGCCACTTGGAAGTAATTTATCCATCAACTACGAGTATATAAAGCGTTCTAAATTCCCATCTGACCGAGTGATGGAGCGTTTATCGACCATCACAACCACCCGCCCAGACTCCCACTATTGACAATGGCCTCAACAGGGATTGAGCCTCGTGCCTTTGGTGCCTTCCAGAGTACCCAGAATAAAGACTGGTTTGATGCAGACATCGATAAGGACTACAGCTTCATGTTCGGGCCACAAATGTCGGATTATTCCATGGATGCTACGTTCTTCGACCCAGTTGAGGGGCTCCCGAGTACATACGGAGCATTACAAAGCCAGGAGTATGTCTCCCCCTCATGAGTTAAACAAACCCATTTTCACTAACCCAGCATGATTCACAGCGTCGAACCTACCGCACAATCAAAGTATGCAAGACATTCCTCCCTACCTCTGATACTCTTGCTGTGTTAGTTCGTTTTCGGCTGGCTAATATTCTTTATCAGAAATATGCTAGAGTATCAGAGACTCCCATCGAGTTCTCTAGCAGATGGGGCTGATGGACTCTTCACGCTCGATAATTTCTCTACTGTGTCAAGTGCGGACACTCTTCAACTTTCAAAGCTTGCTTCGACTGTTAGTAGAGCTTGCTCTGCCATGGAAAGTATCCCATCTATGTTGGAGAAACTTTCAAACTCTATTGATAGGATTTCCACGGGCTTTGAGCGCTTTTCGGGGAGTCTTAATGAAGCGTCAACTCTGGTTGAGAGGGTTCATTCGCAAGCAGAGAATGTATCGGAATACACTACTGCCGCAACTGGCGCTTTTGAAGGGAGAGTTGATAGCTTGTCAGAGAGAATTGATGGTCTGGTCGCAACAGTGGAGGAAATCGTCAAGCGTGAGCGTATCGCGATGGAAAAGTTTGGCAATTTTGCAGGGCGTATCAACCAGCCAGTTGACCTACTCCAGCGAAGCTCTGGGTAGCTCTATTGTACTTGTATCTAAGACCAGCAAACATCTTTAACCACCCTAATACTTTCTTGATCTTGAAGAATGCTTATTGGGGGCACTCTTCTTCAAGTGCTAAGATCTATTGCTTTCCGCATACAGTCGCAGAATTCTCGTTCGTCCTAAGATGACTCTGGCTTCTTAGATCCAGAAGGTAGAATAATATGTTCTTAGCACCTTGGCTGCCTCAGTGGTTCCCACTCATTACTACGGCGAGCAGCGAAATGGGTATTTCCCACCAAATTTATCTCTCTCCTTTCTGATAAAGGTCTTGGAATTGACCTCAACCTTGAACGGTTAGCTAATCTCTCACCCCCAAGCGCTTCCACTCAGGAATCTTGAAAGGATTTTGAGAGGAGGGTGACAGGCAGGCTTATCTCGCTGCTCACTTGTATCACGGGCACTTAGCTGTCCTTCCACAATGGGAACCAGCCATTCTCTCTTCAAAGAGACATTGATGCCCAATATCTGGCTTTATCCTCTTGATTCGCTTGAGAACGATTTTTAATAAGCAGGTGGTGGTTCCTATCCTTTCATTGGCTGGTACGTTTAGCTTTATGCTTAAAGTTTGACGGACCGTCCCGGTAACCAGGTACCGGAGCAAAGAGTGAAACAATAGCCTCCTTGGTGGCTCCATCTTTTCGAGGTCCATGGACGGAGCTAAGATAGTCAAGGTCGGTTAGATATGGAGGAAGAGCGAACGCACGTTTCTTTCTGGTTGGAAATCAGTTTCTTACCCCCAAGGTATGATTCTTTTGAGCCTCTGGATACGCCAAATTTGGGTCTTCGTGACTGGTTGAGTTAAACTCACGAAGTTGAGGAATTCTATCGTAGCCATCCCTTCATAACCTCCAAGTGTCAGACGGGGCTGACCCATTATTGAGCAGAAAACTTTATTGGCGGGTACCTTCGGAAACCAGTGGTGGGGCCTGAGTGACAAATCGCCAAAGTCGCGATGCAATGGAGGTTATCCTGGGCGAATACACACTCCAAATCTCCAAATCGGGGCAACGTATGAATCGGATCCTAGGATAGCCTACCAATTGATGCTATACCCACATGACTTAGCCTTCCGGAAAACCCACAAACTCGAACACCTCCACTAGCGAGGGTCAGCTAAAGGCTAAATAGCGTGAGCTCACTCACTTGTCCCACAGTAGTCTTTGGATAGGAGTCTAATTGGCGCAGTTTGCCCCGGAAGCTACGGACGCAAGTCACGATACTTCCGATTCGAATTTGGATTTAAATATCAATGCTTCCGTGGCAGAAAAAGGCCTAGAATCATGTTCTAGTTTCCGCATCGTCGAAGTGGGGCGGGCCTGGTGCAAGCAGGAGGTCAACCGGTGCGTGACCGGTTGATAAGGGCGACAGACTTGTCTGCGACAGACTTTGGGTATGCGTTATTATGCTGTTGAGATCTTGTTATAATTACACCACTTTAGTCCTAGAGTCCCATGGCTTCGCAAGGCTTTTGTGCTCCTATTCCTTTCCGCGGTAGCATTACTTAGTATTACGATTTGAATGATGCAGCAGTTCCCTCGTCGGACACTTGACCCAATCTCCGAAGAGATCACCCCCACAGACCATAAAGTTCTTGGCTATGGCGGCACCACCTCCAGCATTGAGCGACTCCCATCCCGTTTGCAACGCTCCAAAAGAGCATCAACAGACCTGCGTCAGCAGCTTGAGGATCTTACCTACGAAACCAGCTATTTGAGGGCAGAGCTACAGTGGCAGAGAGAGTCCAGACAGGCTCTATTACGATTCCAAGACCAAATGTTCCAGATGTTCCATAAAATGGAGGAAGCTTTAGCTCAGGTGACTACGGCACTTTATGATTGCGAGCATCGGTATTTTAAACTCTGGGGGGTGGACAGTGAGAGTAGCCCAGAGGAGGGCATGATCTAGCATGATCAACATATTAAACCCATGACTTCCGCTGTTCCAGCGTTAATATGTTAATTGGTTGGAATTTATTTCATTCAACAATTAAACACAGTCTTTCACGAAGTTCGCCTGAACTACACATGCAACGGCCGTCTATCTGCTACGACCCTAATGTGAGCAACATAGTGAATCAAGCGCATTTGAGTGAGGACGGCTGTTGTATTCCACCTTGTACGCGTTATGATGGTCAACAGATCGCTGCTTTTGATGTCCATCTACATCTAAATGCTCCCTAGACGGCTTCAATTCATATGTTCATATGTTCTCCTACCGCCTTATGATGCATTTCTACATCTAGTCAGTAATAAGTTCCCTAGGATTATTGTACATGAAGACTCACTCTCCATAAATGCTTCTTCGTTTAACTCTTTGATATACGCGGTTGAAGATGTTCTGCCTAAATATCGAAGCTGCCGGGTGACATAGCACGGCATATATATCTTCGTCGAGCTGAGGCCATCCATCCATAACAATATATCGATACTGTCCAAAATCATAAGACGAGTTCATAAATGCCATAGCTGCGGCAAGTCCTATAATTCCACGACGTCGACAAAGTAGATGTTGAAAGCGTTTTCGACGAGTACAGTCACCACAGCTTAAAAGTCTTGCTGACAGTTTATTATCTTTGGCCGGAAAAGAGTCCAGTCTCTGATGGCATGCAATGCAAAATAAGTGAACGAACATCCTGTTCTAAATAAGAAACAGTTGCCTGGTTCGGGCTTTCCGTACCTGCGACGCGGCAGGGGCTCTATTTAAGAATTATTGGTTGAATACGATTTAATGTATAAGAGGATATATACTATAAGCTTACCTTCATAACCTATGGTTGCGCCACCAAAGAGTTTCGCATTATCAGCCTTATATATATCTCAACTCTGCAAGCCCTACTTAAGTCTCGGTTGCTCTCCACAAAGTTTAGTGTAACCCTGACGTTCTAAAGATTTCAGATTGAAATGAACGAGCTACTTATTTTACTTTCTCCTTACTTCCTGGTATCAGTATGCGCATTGCTAGCTGTATTTATTCACTACTAGCCCTGCTATTGTAGTCTCCTAACGTGTTCTTTTAGGTTGGAGAAATTGAAGTGGTAGGCGTTAATTACGAACATCGCCATACACATGGTTATACTTATAACCACAGTAAGCCAGTGTCAACGAGTGTGAATACACGCTTACCAAATCTAAGGTCAGAATACCGCCTTCATCCATGGTCATATTGACTATCCACGTTCCAATAAGGTCTGCCCTAGCTATAAGCTTTCGCCAGTTATAAAGACCCCACCTGGATCAATCTTGAGGCCACACTACTTGAAGAAGCCATTGGCCCAACCCGGTGGTCCTCGTAAAGGCTTTCTTGCTTGGTATGGTTTACAAATGTCTGATTCCGTGAGTGAAACAACATTTGGTGATATACTGAATATCCAAGAGGGACTTATGGGAGATGGTAAATGAAACGACCTATTAAAAATGGACTACTACTAAAATCTGCAGTACTGGCAAGCTCGGCTCCCGGTGACGAGCACGGTATCATTCAGCTACCATCTGGTACGAAAATTGGCGCCATATATGCCTTATACTGGGTATGGAATACTACCCATCCTTTGAATGGCGGTCACCTAGTACGACTCTCTCCAATTCCCCTGAAGCATTTGATATTAATATGCTCCATAGACTTTCACCTCTTGCGTTAAAATCGAGCCTATTCCCAACGATACGCTGAGAGATTCTTTTTCTGAAAAGCCGAGCCTCAATTCTCGTGATAATATGAACCAGAGTTCCACTCGGCTTCACACACTAAACTCAACGACCACATCACAACGCAGCAATCATAGAGTCATACCGTCCTCTACTGACAAAAACATAGCATCCAGTTTCCGTCTCACTTCAAGAACAACTTCAAGCCTTTATCCCGTTTCCACAGTGGGTACCACCCCAACATCGAGCTTCACTAAAATCGCGATATCTCATGAAAAGCGGCAGAAAGATTATCCAAGCCCCAATGGGCCGATTACACTATATGCTTGGACGATGCCCAATTGCAAAGGCGAGTGGGCACAGACCGAATTTGATTTCGTGACCTTCACAAAAAATAACTCAAATTTCTATCTATCTCGGAGCTTTAAGCTTTCTCGCCCGCTGGAGGGTCAAGAACAACTTGACCTTTCTCTTGCAATCGACCTTAGCTCTTGGAACTCTACAAAGAGTCTAGCATTAAAGAGCCCTAACCCAGCTTGTGATTCATTCGAACAGACCTATTTCGCCTTGAATGGAAGCGCAGATTGCCATAACACCCCGGCATTTACCTGCCATCGGATATGGATAAACCCCGGCTTGCTCTTGTGATTAATAAGACAGCTACTCGATCAAGCTTTAGTCGTAATAATACCGAGGAAGAATCCTTAAGTCGCCAGCGATTTACTAATGGCCTAACGCGCCTATATAACTTTGTTACAGAAAGAAATAGTCAAAGAGGCAAGGGGTGTGGTCACGTGATAAGCCACGGGGAGGCTCGGAGTCACGAAGCCGTGGCCGAGTAATCCCGAACGTTAGCATGGGATGGCAGGCGCTGGCTTTGCTATATACCAGTCTGGGAAGCAATTCCTCCAGTCCTCCATCCCCTTAGGCCCGAATAAAGAGGTTTTTGATGCTGAAGCTGAAGCAGCACTAGCAGGGGCTAAGGCAGCCTTCCAACTCCACACAGCCTGCTATGCTACTAACCTCTGGATATGCCTAGACAACCTAGAGGTAGCCACACGTCTCCTATCTCCATTTACGGGCTCATCCCAAGAGGTCTTTGAATCCTTCCGGGCCCTGGCCGAAACCTGGCTGTCAAGGGAAAGATTCCCATATACAGATGGCGGCTCTGTACGGATCTGCTGGGTACCTGGTCACACACAAATTCCTGAGAATGAAGCAGCGGACCAAGCCGCGAAGAAGGGAGCTGCTATGAACCCTCCCCTAAGCAAGCACTCACACGCCTCGCTAAAACGGCAGGCTAAAATAGAGATGTTATCTGCCATGCAAAGATACTGGCAGACTACTGCCCCCCAAACCTACCGCGATCTCTGGATTACCACCTACCCCAGGCGCTCTGCGGAGCTAAAGCTCCCACGACCCCTTCTCGCCCGAATCCTGGCTGCGCGTACGGGACATGGGGACTTTGCAGCCTACCACGAGCGGTTTAAACATGAGAATGCGCACCTCCTCTGCCGCTGCGGCGCAAGAAAGACTCCATTTCACTTCCTCTTCTGCTGCATTGCAAAGAGACGTCTTCCCCTACCCTCAGGGCCGCCCTCCGAAACTATCCCCTACTTATTAGGCACCCCCAAAGGGACAGCCAAGCTAGCCGCTTGGCTATCTAAATTTTGAGGATATCTGCACGAGGTATCCTCTACCTCAGCCAGGCTGAGACACCACCCAAAAAAAAAAAAAAAAAAAAAAAAAAAAAAACGTACGAGACCGTGGCAGTAGGATAGGTCATGGAGAGTAGGAGGACCTCTGCAGCTGGCATCACCCCTCTTCCCCTGTACAACGGGAATTTCCTTTTTCTTGACCAGAGCAGCTATCAAACGCGCAAAGGTCCCTTAATTTGTATATAAAACTAGAACTAGAAGCTAGTTAGTGACGCCCAGGACTTACCCCTGGCGGCCTTTGCCCCATCCGGGGACGGTGGGACACATGCTCAGGCGGTGAACCACGGCCGTAAAATACAACCAACCAACCAACCAACCAACCCGAACGTTAGCGACCGTGTTACCTGCCGTTGGGTCGCCATTCCGCAACACCTCCCTGTTCATTCTTAAAAGTTCCCACTAAAGCGCTAATGAGTTTCACCGCCTTCCTATCAACTTCCCATCAACTTCCCATCGACTTCTCATGACTTGCCATCGACTTCCCATCGACTTCCCATCGACTTCCCATCGACTTCCCGCATCCGTCTGTGCTTCTTTTCCATCATAATGCCAAACAAAAATCGTATGAACAACCGACTTACGTCGTTGGATGTTTGTGATGTGCTCGGTCGACAGCGAACTAGTTTTGGAGAAGACCTTCCGCTAGGACTTGAACATGACCCTTTTATTCGGCAAACTTATTACTTTACGTACAATAAGTCTGGAAAGACAGAGGGAATTCGGGTCAACCGTCGTCTCCAGCAGTTTCGGCAAATAAGTTCTTATATCTGGATCCTGGTCGCTACCAGCCTGACATTCACCCACCTTGCACATCTTCAGGAATTCGATGAATGCATTAAAATAATAGAGGCTTGGGTGGATAAGTATCCTATCCCTGAGCACCTGGGAATAGGAGCTTGTATGTTGCTACAAGTTCTAGACGCGCAAGGGGATAGCATTCTCACAGGTGAGACACAAGATTGAGATCCTGGACGAAGCTAAGGCTGGTAGATGGGCGGAAAATTGGAAAAAAGATTAGTCAAAGGAAGATACCGCTGAGGAATCGTAGGTGAATTGGTCATTTTTATATATTTATTTACTAACTTTCCAAGGATTTCCTTTCCACAGAAAATGCAATAATATTCTGAGCCGTACCACAATTCCGATCAACACCAGTCGAAATAGACATATAGAAGCGAGATGGAAATTCCTCCATTCTATTGATTCCATGTGCAAATACGATCAGACCAGCATCACGCAAGTGACTTCCGATGGGCAATTAGACGACCTTCTCAAACGACCCTTCGAGAAACCGATATTCTGGCAGAACTATACCCAGCATTATCCTCTTCATGGCGTACCTAATTCAATACCAGACTTACTTGCGGAGCTTCGTCAGCTGGATATCAAATCCTTAGAAGCTCATGACTATGCAAAGGACAAAAATCACGCAGTATATCTAGATGATATTGCAGAGCATTTCCGAAAACCGCCCATGTTCAGTTCGCCATTGAACTTCCTGGATATTCGAAACCAGATATTTTCCCGTGTTCCGGTACATGTGAACAAAGTCGATCTTCTTCGCTTGGCACTGCGACGACAGGCAGGGTCTGCTGGCAAGAGTGAGTCTTTAAGGGTTCTGCTGGACTATGCAGACCATGAGTTCTTCCTTCTGTCCAGCGGAAATTCAGTATCAACTCTACATGTAGATACTGCAGGACAGCTTACATATATTATCGGTATTTCGGGTCGCAAGACCTGGTATCTCCCTCGCGAGTTCACTCCTAAGACTTATGAGATCCTTGCAACTTTTGGCAGCTCTACTCCAGAGACATACTCTGACGGCTGGGTGAAAATTGATATTATGCCCGGAGATCTGCTGTAACTTTCCTTCCCTGAATATACCTTCCTCTGCTGATGCTAGCTAGAATCATGCCACCGGGATGTCCTCACGCGGTCTTCACAGCGGAGCACTCACTTACCTTTGGAGGCAACTTCTACACCCTACCTCATCTTGGATCAAGTCTCCGTGTACTGGCTTTACAGGCCAAGTTCAACTATGTCTTCAGTAATGAATCAATCACTGAACAGCACTACTTGAACTTCTTGGTCATGCTAGAGACATGCAAGGAGACAATGGACTCTCGCCAAATGGCAAGCGTTGCTTCGAGCGGCATAGGATGGGGGATCACAGATCAGCGTAAACGCCAGGAGGATGTGTCCAAGATTAGTTGTGATGGACAGAATCTTCCGGAGCTCCAACAGACGTTACGATTATTGATTTGGGACATACAGACCAAGGGATTCGAAAGGCTTGACTAGACACACAAGAAATCTTGATCAAGCTGAGAAGTGACCGTTCAAGACCGTACCATCACGATCCTGGCCCCCGTCAAAGGCTCATTGAATCCAACTGTCATTATAAACAAGCCGCTAGTCCCACCTATGCGCCATTGGTTTGAAGAGCAAGTCTACCATTTCCATGGCTCCTCCTTTGACTGCATACATTAGCGGTTATAAGATTTCTTTCTATGTTCAATGGCTATTTCTTTGAACATGCCTAGTCCATAAGCAATTAGTCAACTAACTTTAATGCGGTCGTCCGCGAGTAAGCGCTCCATTATCTTGCCGTGTCCTTCTGTCTCTGCCCACCCAAGTGCGGTTTCGGCCACCATCATCTGCAATGTTAGGATCAACCCGAGCGTGCCGAAGGATCAGTTCGACGATTGAATCATCTCCCTTGCGTACAGCCAGTAATAGTGCGGTCGCTGTACCATTGTGCTTCTTGTTGATATGCAGGCGCTTTCCTTGAGCAAGAAGCAGCTTTATAATATCTCTATGGCCCTTCTTGATTGCGTGTGGGAGAGGCGCCTCATATATACCACTTCCATGGTTAAGGTTGACCTTTGGGTTCCGGACCAGCCTCCGAACTACCGCAATATCGCCTTTTTCAATAGCTAGCCACAGGGTAGGCACCTCATGAATACCTTCAGGGTTAATCCGTATATCCGCTCTCGTAAGAAGCAGGTCCACGATAGTTATATTTCCGGTGTCAACAGCCCAGGTCAGTGGAGTGCGGTCGTTGCTAACAATGTTCAAACTAACGTCACTCCGTTGAACAAGTTCCCGTACAAGCGGTACGTTTTGTCTCCTAACAGCAAAGTGAAGTGGTGTTGAGTCATCTTGGACTTGTAATGAATGTCCGATAATACCGTTGACATTCAAATCGGACAGGGGCAGCAGCGACATGGCCAAGTCTTCATGGCCACGTTTAACCGCCAACCAGAATGGAGTTGCTCCACTATAGTCTCTTCGGTCGACCTCGATACCTGGCATAGCAAGGAGCTGGATGAGTATGTCCGGATGCCCTTTTTTCGCTGCTAAATGCAGCGCAGTCTGCCCCAAAGAATCCAGAGCATTGATATCGATTTTCTTTTGATCAAGCAGCACCGCCATAACCCTTGTATGTCCATGACTGGCCGCGATATGTAGTGGAGCTCGGTTATGGCGATTCCCAGCATTCACGTCAAATTTGCGACCTATCAGAAGCTGAACGGCCTCTGTCTGTCCTCTTTCAGCGGCAAAACATAGCGATTCAGCAGCCTCAGGGGACCTCTCAAAACCAGGCGGCGGCCAGGTCCTTATCAGAGCATCTAGCAAAACCTCTACCATAGCTAGATGGCCACTAGCTATTGCCTTGTGTAGTGGCATTTCTTCTTGCTCATCCATCACATCCACATCAGCTCCCGCGTCCAGCAACATTGTCACCATGGAGAGTTCACCCAAAGATGCAGCATAGTTGAGCGGAGTTCGTCCCCGACGATCTCGGCAAGCAAGATTGATGGTCTTCTCTGAGAGTAAGGTATTCGCAATCCCTTCATGCTTAGACCGCAGCGCATGAAAAATCGGTGTCATATTATGCATATCACCCTTGTTGATGTCGACTCGACCCGTACGCAGGAGACATTCGATAATATCCTTATGTCCATTGAGCGCACCAGCAGCTAGGGGCGTTTGTCCATAAACTTTATCAGAACAGTTGATCTGGGTATCTTTTCTAGCGAGAAGCTGCTGGACTATAGCCACATGCCCCTGAGAAGCTGCATGCCACAGTGCAGTTTGCCCCTTCTTGTTAGAGAAGTTGACTGAGATCCCTGGCGTCCTTAGAAGGATCTCGGTGACAGACTCTAGCCCATGAATAGCGGCGGATATAAGTGGTGTGTTATCCTCATAGATTGCGTTGACATCTGCCTTGTACTCGTGAAGAAGTCTTTTGGCCAATCCGGATGCTTGATCCCCAGCATCCTCATTCTCAGCACACCAATGCAATGCAGAGCTATTCTGCTCGCGGACGTTGAATTTGTAAAGCCACGGGAGAAGAATATCATGCAATCGGCGATTTGCTCTTGCTAGCGAGGAAATATCCCTAGCGCGGTCAAAATTCTCTGCTATGCTGAGGACTATTTCAGAAGGCAGATGGAACCAGTGCATCTATGGGAGACAGACTTAGCCCGCGGTGGATCCTAATAGACTTGGGGAGGGTAATTGACATACGTTTACTTTCAAGATTGAATATGAGAGAGTGACTAAAGTCGAGAACGCGGGGGAACGCACTGTCTTGCAGAAAACATAAGTAATCGGCTCCTGGCCTAAGGTTGACTTTTGAACTTCGGGCTAGAGTAAAGTGGCTCCTGTGCAGCGCATGGTGTCGCATCTTGGTGACCCACTTTTGCCATATTTTGGTGTATTGAAAGCCTCTGTATTCCGACTGCGCGTACGATTGGAAGGACGATCAAAGCGCTACTAGCGTGCGCAAGTCCTTGAAGCCCACCAATGAAACTGAAGGATTCATGTGGGAGATGATTAACCTTTCCTTGGCCTGATCATTGTTTACGGTCCCAGGCGTAATTTAGGGGTTGACGTCTCTGTTCTGGCGGATAAGTAACTTAGCTCCCTAGGTTTCTTGAGCATCTACCAATCTTTCTCGGCACACTCCCTTCTCTAAGGCTAGCACGACCTTCAACCCTGCATCATGCTTGAGGGAAACGTGGTTAGTGTATAGTCCCTTTGTTCATACGCTCACTAACATGAGCCAGGTCTTTCTGCATCGGTCTATCCTACACGATCCTGCGAGATTAACTGTCAAGATCTTTATTGGGCGATCTTTCGACTATCACGATGCCGAGTCATTCGATTGGTTTCCTGGCAGATTCGCCTCCTCCGTTGTACTCGGCCTTTTCGATGACGACCTCCTTATGCTGTCCCTTGTGTATTGGCACTTTGATGCGTTCGCTCAAGAGCCGTCTTCGGCAGCGCGTCAACGCCTCCTGGAAACATTGTTCGATTATAGTGAACTCCATGCGATGTGCGCTATTCTTTGCGATCTGTACAACGCTAGGGCGGTGGAGCAGATGACAGGGATATCTTTCATGGCAAAGCTCTGCGGGCTATTATTTCATATAGACTCACTTTTTTATCAGTCACTAGCGTGTATGTCACCGCACTACGCATGTGCTATCTGACTACTCAGTGGCAATAGCACTGGATCACTTAGGGTGGAGGTTTGTCTGATTTAGATTAGCAATCCACAGATGTTTTGAACCAAATCCGTCTCAGCCTTACAAAACATCCTGCGCAGCGGAACAAACTATTATCTGTTGATGTTGACGATATGAGCTAGGACACGGTTGACTTCCCCCGACATCTCCTCGAGCAAAACAAACAACGAAAGGGAACGGGAAACAAAGAAAAACACTATCAACAGTCACAGCTGCACCTGCGCCAACGGCTCACTCCTGCTTTACAGTGATCCCCCGTCCACCACTCGTGCTCCTCCGCCTCGTAACCACAACGCCCGTCCCATCCTGCGAACTCACCAAACCTTCATTTCCCGTCAGCGTCGTCCTTGCGCTTGCGCTTGCGCTCCATAAGTAAGTAGGCCTCGAAAAGTCGAGAAAATACTGTCACGGATTCGATTCGTGTCAAGGTCTGGTCAACTCCGAGATCTGTGAGCAACCGCCATCCATAGCCATCTTTCTCATGGAAACTCGAGCCGTCAATGAAAAAGTAGTCTGTCTTCCGGCCATCTTCGTCCCACGTGAACTGAGGTATTGGGAGAAGTTTGTATTCGAGTTTGCCGGGAGTCGAGGCTCTTTCGATTAGCTTCTCGAGCTTTTCGATGAGATTCTCCATTGGTGTCACGTATTCGCGGGGAACATGCGGCCTGGAACTCTGTACAAATATAATACTGAAGTCCCGAATGATTAAGGCTACAATGCTCTGTGTGGCAGTCCGCGGGCCTCGATATTGCTCGAGGATACTTGGGATTTCGGGATCCATTCTTGCTGTTTGAGTCTCACACGCTAGGTCAGTACGAAAGGAACCCGATATGAGGAGTGATGGATCATACCTCGAGATTCTAGACTAGTACAGGACAAAGAGAAGTCGCTCGAGGTGAGGGGAGCTTGAGCCTTGGGCTTTCGAAAAACTGATTCAGCTGAGAGGCACGGAACCAGGAGGGGATCTTTGTGCGTTGATGAAATAAAAAAGGCCTCTCTTCCTTAGTCTCAAACCAAGGCAGGCGCGTCTTTATGCCGCCAGCATCGAAAGAGGCCTATACCGCGCATGCATGGCACTTTCGGCGACCCACTTTCACCATAATATGGTGTATTGAAAAACATCCGTATCTCAAATGCCATGTATCCTTCAAAGCCGATCTTTCCGGCTCCGGAGCGATCTGCGAGGGGCCAAGGGCCTTGGTCCTCTGCTGCCGGTTTTACCTGGACAAGCTGCACCCATGGCTTAGAATGAGAGGCCGCACATTAATATGCTAGAGAAGTACCTCCAACTTTCTTATTTCTTCCCCTCTCGCTTTTCTTTTATTGTTTTGATTTTTGTTCTTTCATTTTATTTCATTTATTGCCGCCAGTGCCCGTTCGTTATAACCGGCGAGACCTATGGGTCAGTGACTCAATCTACTCCCGCATGATCTTGGATTTCCCTCACGGTATTTCGAGAAAGTTACGTTCTATGGTGAGAAGCCAATCTGTGGTTGATGAATCAAGTTTGTTAATAGCTCAGCAGGTAGTTCTAATACCTAGGGGACTTCTTCAGCTTTCGGCTCAGCCAGCTATAGAGAGTTTCCTTGACCCGCATCTCAGAGTTTTGCTTGCTCAGTCCAACAACCACGTTCTCTACTTGGGTTCCACTAGTTTGCCGGATTCTATTCATCTCAACAACTATATTCGGCTTCTTTTAGATGAGCTCACTGACTCCGCCCTTCTCATCCTGTCGCTTTTCACTTGGGAGGTTAACCGCTTGGCCTATTCGCACACTTATTGGACGCTGACACCGATGCCATTGACCCTACTCGAACGCTTCTGGTTGACAAGATCGTTTCTATTTGACCAAAGCTGGGACATGTTTTATACCCGGTATAGAGTCTTGGTAGTGAGGCCGATGGAGAAGCAGGACTTTATACAAACCGTCAGAGGACTACGAACTTGTCTGGATACTCTTCTCTTGAATTCCTGAAAATGTAGTGGTAGATGAATGATGAATTACAGTCATAGAAATTGTTTCAAGGCCGTGAACTGGACATTGCCTATACATGGGTGTCCCCATGGCAGCTTCAAACTCCTGCAATAAGATCCAAACACAGACGAAGAGCTAAACTTAGGGTGAGCGACATAACAGCGGAGCTCTTTGGATGATACTCACAAGACAGGATCTCCTCCTCCCAGATACCCATTTCGTAGTCTACCAGCCCATCCGGTTCCAACTGATCACAAATTCGTATAAAATCTTCTCCAAGGCAACTCAGCTGGTCAGCATCAGGTAAGTCGATGCAGCTCTCGCGAGACTTTAATGTGTCGATAATTTTTTGGAAGAAGGCAAGCCAAATATGATTCAAATCCTGCCAAATCTTCCGTTGATAGGGTAAGGATAAAGGGTCATCGCGAAGAAGGCCTGATTAACCCATTAATGCATCAACAACCACAGATCGTGACAATATTGTAATCATCCTGTAGGAGAAAAGGAGGCGATACCGAGTCTCCGCGCATTCTCTGCAGTCCATTTTGACAAATCCAGCAATGCTTTGCTAGCCCAGATCAATTGCCCATCTTGTATCTGGGTCATAGTCATTCGAACACATTCCTGGAATCTCTGAATGGGATCCGTGGCTGGCGCAATTATGAGAGGCTGGTTTGCAGGCGAGTAAGGAGCCGGTTGAGCCACAGGGAGAGAGGGTTCCAAATGTAGGTAATATAAGCAAGGTTGTGCTGGCATCATATCATGGTGATAGTATGGAGCATCAGCGGACTCTGATGGAGTATTCTGATGCTGCGGCCCTGATTGCCCGGTATACAAAGTCCACATCTGGAAGCTGTCCCCAAATATTCCACTTTCAGTCAAGGTAGAAGAAGACATGCTGAGGAAAACCTGAGGTGCTAGCAGATTTCCACAATGTGCGGACCAAGCGTATTACTTATACATGGCCTCTGAGCCTTATTTCGACATGCCAAGAGGATTGTCGGTTGCACGTTGGCAGGGCACAAACTTCTCTACTAAAGTGCGTGCTACCAGTCATGGTATGGCTTTTCGTAAGAGATTCATACATTAGCTTTCTGAGGGAGGATGGCAAAATATCAATAAAATAGACTAAAATCCACTGCACTTTCCAACTCAGGTATATAGACGAAGCTACTACTCTCAACCAAGCAACAGAGAATGTAATAAAAACCACTTCGAACTGGTCCTACCCCTCCTCAGGAACTTCCGACTTGACCACCATTGCCCCTACGGGATACACGGTTGAGTGAACGAACATAACCAAATTCAATAAAACATTCTATTGGTGGATTAGTATCATTGATACCACAGCGAGCTTATACTTACTAGTGATCAGACTTTGTGAATTTCCGGATCTTTTCCATAGTTTTCAACCACGAAGGAAATATCGAAGCAGGCTTGGCCTTGTGGGACTTGTTCGGCGAGCATAAGGCACTTCAGCGATATTTGATAACAGGATAAGAATGTGTCGAAGTCTGATTTTCTCGCAGTAAGGCCCTTGTGAATATTGTCTGTCTCTGCCCGAAAATGGGAATACAAGAGATCAGCGCGTGGATATCCCCGAAGGCATTGGGGACACACAAATCGTACTGGTGTCTTTTGTACGATTTGCTCCAGGGTGTTGTACTTCCTCTCAAATGAAGTTGACATGTTGTCACAAAAAGAGGTAAATGGCAGGTAAGGATGCAGTGATAGTGTTACGAGTTTTGATGATATTTCTTCTGGCTCTTATAGCATGAACGAGTGGGTACTTTTTTAATCCCTCTGCATCTTAGACAGGTAATTCAACTAGCATTGATTCAGCTCTTGTAGCTAATACTTCTTGTGGCATTCGCGCAACTAAAGCCAGTAGGAGGTGGTGCATTCTATATTCCCTGCGTTGTAACTTGGATCACTTTCTAGCCTTGTATTCCATCGAGTCCAGTTTCAGTTGCTGCTGCTGCTGCTTCTTCTTCTTCTTCTCCTCCTCCCACTCTTCTAAAAACCGCCTTCCACAAGTAGATTGGTCCAAAGATTCCTTAGACATCATATAAAACTCAGAACGCTCGCGAACAACTTCCCAGGACTTCTCTCTCTCGGGTAATCTCATTGGTCGAGAAAAAACCAGCTATTCCTCTTTTTCCTCCTTAACGCAGAGTTGACCCTAACTTCTTTTCAGTACGCGAAGCATAGTTTGACAACTAAGGGGCTGACCTGCAGAAGTCCCAGTTCTTCAATGTTCATTGGGCGCGGCTTCGATTGACTGCATGCGCGGGACAGGAATTTGTCCTCTTCAGGGACTCGATTGAAGCATTCATCTTGCTCAGGGAATGGACGGAAGCACTCGAGGAAGGGAGAAAGTTGCGACCTCAAGGTCTTCCACAAAAGCAACACATTCATTGTCGTTTAATGTTTAAAAAAGGGCAATTTAGTTATTCTAGAGTTATTATGTTCCAAGGTTGTACTCCGATCTGAACTATGTGGACTGCGATATTTCTGCCATCTGGGGCTGATAACGCTTTTGAGAGCTAGACAGGGGCTAACAAATGGAAGGCCAGGGATTTCCGGTGAGCCCGTGAGGCTGGACAAGATATCGACACTATTTGCAATGCATTAGCCTAAACTCTGAGAGCCGCTACTAGCAGACTGGACTTGCACAAAGCCGACAACATGTTGATACTTTGTGGTGTCTTAGAACCAACCCACAGTGGACCAATAAGAGCTTCAATATCAGACAAAACATGTCAACATGTTGATACTTCTGTGATATACACCGACAACCCAGAGTGGACCTCAACCGTGCGACGCCAATAACTAATCGAAGAGGGCTGACCATCAGGTAAACAGGCTGCACTTTTGGCCTAGAGCTCTGCAACTGACATCATACAGAAGACTTGCATAATGTTGCTTGGTAATGGTGCCCTGGAAGATTTTGTCGAGCAAAGGCTCCATCTACTAGCTTGCGAATCATCGTCTAGTAGGACCTAAGGTACGGTTACTCAAAAACCCTTGGTGGGTAAACCCTTTCTAGGAATTTGTACAAGTCTGCTTGGAAGCTCGATTTGAATTATTTTGCGCCGGCCAAAACCAATCTCAACGGTACATTAGAAGCTAATTCAAAGACTTCAATATCAAGTGTCCTTGTTGGGCCGTGCTGAGCAGCCTTTTTTCCCGCAGGGCATTTTCATTTCCTGCGATCTGTCGATAATTCCCGTGCAAATCCCGCCCGTGCAAGGCAAGGTCCCCTCGTCTGTACATCCGCAACCGTATGTTTTAACGATTCTCCAACACATCCTGAAGATATCATCAGTGAACAGTAGTATTAGTTCAGGAATACCGACGCTGCAGTCTGATATGGTACAGGCACTCGAGAAGTTTGGAAGAGTAAGAGTAGGTGGCGATGCGAGGGGCAAAATTAGGAAGTAGAGCTAACAGAAAGATCTTTGAATAGTTTGAGCACCGAAAGTGTTTGCAGAACGAAGGCAACAGAGAAAGACAGGACTGACGAATCTTATACTGCTGGAATAATGCCATGAATCGAAATTACGCTCGTCATCGAGTTGCGCTACATACATCAAACTGAAACCCGAACATCCGCTAGTTCCGAATCTTAGGTAGCTTGACAAATCAAGGTAAGGCTGTAGTTCAATATTCGTCCGTCTCCAGAGGCAACGATGACGGTGGGAGGTTGGAAGTGTCCAGCCGACCGTCGTGACTAAAAGGATTGAAACCATGGCCGAATACTCCAGATTCGCGGAAATTATCCCTAAACGGTCAGCAACCGGTCGTGTGTCGGGCTTTGGAAGTTACCTTGATCCGGATTGAATCTCAGATTCGCCAGTCTGCGGCACAGACCTACCTGCAAAACCTTAGTTCCGTATGGAAATATCGAATTCAAGCGAGCGGCGAAGAGGCATACCTATGGGCCTACCCCCCACTGGTCTGTTGCGAGGTACATCTACCGGCCGAGACTTTGGGTGTACATCAGGAGTGGGTAAAACAAGGACGGAGTCAACAGAGGTACGGCTTTGGTTGTCGTGCGGTTGGCTGCGGGGTACCAAGTCAACTGGCGGCACTCGATTGTTGCAGTATGTGGTCCCTTTGTTTGGAGTACGTATAGGATTCGACCCGACCGAGTCAGCCAGCTCATCATTTGAAGGGTGAAATCCGCGGTTAGGTTGCATTGGTGGCCCTCGAAGATTTGCCCCGTCCCTCGGTTTTGATGTAGGCCCAGCCTCAGGTCCGAGAGATCTAACCGGCCCACCATTAGTAGATTGGAGGGGAAGTTGCTGAGGGTCTTCTGTAAGCTCAAGGCTGTCAGGAGAAATCAGCGATGGGTCATATTTCTTGGTCTCTTTGAATGCCACCTTGAGTTGGTTTCGGATTCCGCGCCATTCTTTCCAGCTCTGTCTGGCGGACCTAATATTGCGAATGTGAGTGGGTGCGATGACCTCAAGGGAAGGAAAGGAGGCTAACGTTGGATTCGGCGGTCGATTCGGTTTCCGGGGTGAGGAGGATATTCGGGTGCGTTGATGCCTTCTGGCTGTTCACACACAGTAGTGCCGGGTTGCGAAGGCCCAGATGCACGGGAGACGGAGGATTCAGCGGCTGGGAAATCCTCCCACCCACAAGCGCCTATGCGCCGCATGAAATGAATAATTCTCGGAAAGAGATTCATGGCTAGATCCAGATCGATGCATCGAAGCAACAAGCAACTACGACCAGGCTGGGTATCCTTATACATACTCGCCATGACTTTTGGCATCCTGCGGGCCGATCTACAAGCCTTATTTTTTTTGGGTGAAATACGGGATAAACAAGGTCGGATCCACTTGTCCTCAATTCGATGATCACATTTCAGCTCCAACGGGGCCAAATGACATGAGGAACCATAGCATCAACGTCTTGGTCTGGATCCATGCTCTTTTCAGATCACCCTGCGAGAATTTGTTTCTCCGAGACTAAAGCAAGCTGGTATTGACATTATTTTGCAATGCATTAACCTAAACTCAGAATGCCGCTAGGAGTAGACTAAACTTGTGCAAGGCCGTCAACATGTTGATACTTTTGTGATATATCCTGGCAACCCAGAGTGGACCAATAATATTCCGAGATCAGACAAAGTCGTCAACATGTTGATACCCTTGTGGTACCGTAGTGTGAGCCCAAAGTGGACCAATAAGATTCCGAGACCAGACAAAGTCATCAACATGTTGATACCTTTGTGGTACCGTAGTGTGAACCCAAAGTGGACCAATAAGATTCCGAGACCAGACAAGTCATCAACATGTTGACACCTTTGTGGTACAGTAGTGTGAACCCAGAGTGGACCAATAATATTTTCATCATCAAACTAAAGATATCAACATGTTGATACTTTGGTGATGCATTAGCGTCAACCTAAAGTGGACCAGTCGGATCCCAAGACCAACGCAAAAGGTATCAACATGTTGATACGCTTGCAATGCATGAGTTAGTGCTGAGATTACGGTAAGCCACTCATGGCCCCTCATATCCCCTCACGGATCCAACGGCCTTTGGGCCCAACCTTCCGCGCACAGACAGTTCGCTAGGAGGATAGCCGGGAGCACAGTGTATATTATACTAAAACTCCCCCGGAATGAAGGTAAAGACAAAGAAAAATTTCCAATAATCTTTGCGCCATCATCGCCCCAGTATCGTTCCCTCATTGCTCTGCAGACGCCGCTACTTCCTCCGTTTGCTCGCACCGCTTCTCGACGTTCCTATATTCCTGTTACACTGTTTAAAACGGCCTGCTCAAAAGGTTAGTCGTAGCTTCAGCTCGTTGGTATCGCACGGTCTAACGATCTTCAGAAGATGTGCAAGTGGATTGAAAAGACCTGGCAAGGCTGCAATTGCTCCGCGGGTTTCGACAAAACAGTGCCATGCGGCCAAGATTGTCACCCTACCAACACTACCACCCCTCAACAAACATTTGCCGAAGGAATTATCTGGGTACCTGGCAAATGCACTGCGCACCAGTATTTAACTCCATCATCCTCAGAAGGAAGCATGTAGTCGGAGCGCTTAGTCGGAGGGATGAGGACGGGGTTGATAGTTACCGACGATAACAGATAGGCCCTCACTGCTAGCGATGATTGGAAGAACGTGAACGAAGTTGTACGGGTGTACCTGACTTTCATCATGTTTTAGTGACTCTTAAAGCCAAATATTATGCTTAAACATAGCTCTGTCGCAGACTGAACGCGACACTTTCCACATTGGTGGTCTTCTTTAGCCATCCTGACAATGCAAGGCTAGCTTCCGGCGTAAATTGCCGTTTTAGGCTAGTCTTGCTTGAGCATTGCTCGAGTATAAGG